CCCCCTCACCCCCAGTCTCCATCTGGACATGGAGCCGTTGACCACTACCCTCTGGACGCGACCATCTAACCAATTCCTCACCCAGCGGACAGTCCAGCCATCAAATCCGTACCTCTCCAGTTCAGAGAGAAGGCTGTTGTGGGGGACATCATGTATCCGGGCACGAGTGCCAATGCGCACCGGGCACGTGAGATGCCGGGCAGGAGCGCTGCCAGGCGTGAGTGATGCCAGGCACGAGGGACACTGGGCAGAGACAGTGCTGGGCACAAGTGATGCTGGGCTCAAGGGACAGGGTGCACAGGCAGGGCTGGGCACGAGGGACACTGGGCACAATGATACCGAATATAAAGAAGTACTAAGGAGACATACGGTTCCCTCTGTCGAAACAAAGGAGCTAAATGCTCCGTGGATAGACAGACTGGACATTCCGTAGGTAAAAGAAGCCTTGAGCCTCTGGGCACGGGGGTGGAACAGATAAGGAAGTTCTGCTGAAATCAGCAAGTTGGGGCAGCTGGGCCAAAGGACAAACTGTGCCGGCGAAGAGCCTGAGCTCCACTAGTGGACGTGGTGAGGAAGACTATCGACGACCCCCAGAGGACCCTGGAAGACCACCGACGAACATAAGAGCGCCTGCGTCAAAGACTTTTACATGCGTTAATGAGTTCCAGGAAATAACATGATATGCTAATCATTTCTCGGAAATCTAATGAATATGTATATTCTGATTGTACATAACTCCCACGGTTGAGCAGCTCGGGGGGCACACGAGGCAGAACACACAGATCCCCTGCGCGCCCGGCGCCGCAATAAAGAATGCCTGCTTTCTAAAACTCCAAATTGGGTCTTAGAGAGTTTTTCACCTGCCGACTTATGGTAACACAAGGGGTGCCAGGCACAAGGGACACTGGGTGCGCGGGACACCTCCCACAAGCCCCGGGGGGTGCCCACATGCCCCGGGATTATTTTACCGTTTTCCCAGCTCTTTCACCCATAAGACCCCAGGGCGGCAGAGCCGGGGTGGGGCGGTGGGGAGAGCCGTGGGGTGCCGGACACCTGGGTCTCCCCCCGGGGTGGGCAGGACGCCGGGGTCGCGGGGTGCCCCGGGGGAAGGGGACAAGACCGGTGCCGGGGGAAGGGGGGCTGCGGCTTGGGGGACCCAGGGGTGACCCCGGCCTGGGGCGGGACTCGGG